CACCTACTCGTATCTGGGAGAAGTAATGCTTCCAAAGACAGGGAGGGATCCATTCCTGCTTTTTTTTTTCTCTCTCCTTTGTGTTCAGATACCTATTGAATGGCTGCTTTCTGGAGTAAACTTTACCCCCACCGTTGCTGCTCCATCCACCCTGACATCCACTAGTGCTCTTTACAAAAGATGATTCTATTTCTAGCCCGACTAGCAGTCCTGGGAATTCAAACGCGACCTCTTTCCTATCAGGATAGTTGCTGGTGAGCCCAGCAGTGTCTAATTCAACGTGCAGTCCAGAGGAGGGGAAAGGAGCTGCCTCTCTGGAGAAAAGGGCAGATTTTCCTCAGCTTTTTAAAGGAACAACGTTGCGATTCCTCCCCATACAAAGCAGAGGATGGAGATGGCATTTGTGTCTCAGTAGGTGGCACTCTGTTTCTTGAGTCAGCACCCAGCTGGTGCTCCTGCCTGGCCTTGGCAGAGCAATTGGATTTGTCTTTGGTTTTGGTTTAGCAAGATATGTTCATTAAAGATCTGTTCTTGTAAGGTTAGGAAGGTTGGCCACGGTGTCTGAGCTAAATTCCGTTGCTGGTGAGCGTATCCTGGCTCCCTGGCTTTTTCAGTTAGACGCATTTTTATTTGTGTTTTCTTTCTGGGCGCTTTCAGGCGGCGCCTCGGTTCAACCCAGAGTTGGCTGCCTTTCAGCAGAAGCTGAAAACATCCAAAAAGCTTTGTTAATTTAGAGGTGAGGTTGCTCGAGTCTATTTTCTCTTGACGCTGCAAACACTACAGAGCAAGAAAAGAAGTTAAGGCCACAGATGTGCCCCTCCGAGGGGCAGGCTGTGAGTGCCAGACTGACACAGTGATGCTGACCGGGCTGACCTCTGCAAGTCACTATTTTCTCTCCAAGGGGTCACGATCCTTCCTGAGCTCCTGCGCTGTAATTGCTTGCGCGGCATCATGGAATGGTTTTGAAAAATCAAGGTTTATTTAATTAAAAAAATGACATCCGAAAGCGATATTCCTAGCCTCCTGTTACGTTATGCACTAGACAGAGCAGAAAGATGATCTAACGTTCTGGTCAAAAAACACAAACTAATTCCTACGAAGTGTACGTACTATCAAATCAACTGAGTGACACCAGCTATGCTTAAAGAGCGTATGTTCTCGAAGTGGATTTGCCCCACTAATTCTCAGACACGTTCTGTTACAACTAAATAATAGGAATTAAAAGATCGGAGGTAGCAGTGCATGTTAAAATGTGATTTCAGATCGAAGAAGCGTGCGTAGAGTAGGATGTGGTATAAAAAACCAAGTATGTTTGAAGAAGACATCTGATTTATATGGTGCTGGCTGTTCCCTGCACTGTGAGCTGTTTGTTTGCACTGAGTTAACTACAATAAAACAATACATTCATATTTATTAATTTTTTATGTAGGCTTTTGGAAACAGGAAGAGAAGTGAGAAGTAGACAGGATATCAGAGGAAGATGTCCATGAGATGCATCTCTGTTAAAGACTTTTTCAAGCCATATGAATAGCTTCAGATCTGGTTAGACTCAAGGATCAAATTCAGATCCTAACTCTTATTTAGCCTCAGATTTCCGTGGACAAATCCCAGTCTCTTCATTTTGCCATGAGGTTTCTCCATCTGCAAGACAGGGATAATAACTCTGTCTGCCTCTCATGGGTGCGGCGGAGCCAATTTCATCACTGTCAGCTCGGTGGAATCCCTGGGTGAAAGGAACAACAGAAATACAGAAAACATGGGTTATTAATAGCAGGTGCTTGCCCTTACATACATCACATGTGCCGTTAGTCATTCTGACCAATAATTTACAGGGAGCGAAAAGATGTTCCTCAGCGGAAATACAAAATGACACATGGATGATATTAGGCCTCGGAGGTGCTGCGGTCTCTGAGAGTCTCTTCAGTCTAAATCCAGTGGTGCCACCCTGAGCAGATCGTTCTTCATGTGTGGGTAAAATTTAAAATGTGCAGGAGCTGTGGAATCTTAATAGCTAAAATTTAACTTCTGGGCAGTTTACACCAGAAAGGAATTTCCTGTGCTGGAATTGGTGTGCAGACCAAATTCTTGATGATTTTCAGCTTTTTTTGCCTCCTTTGTAGAATCCAAAGGTTATCTCCTCCCTGACACATCAGATACCCTTTTATTAGCAGAGGTGCACTGGATACAAAAGTTTACCTTCTGTGTGTTGTAAGTGATGGCTTTAAAGGTGCGAACTGAGGGGAGCCTGGGACAATAATCTTGAGGCGCTAGTACACCATTGAGGAGAAACGTGGTTTAAGAAACACATGGCAATGAATTGTAGCACTTCATCTGTGCTCGTCCACATTGCAGACCGTTGCTTCTCTGCAGACAGTTCAGCAGTTAGAGCAGACTGGGACTGAAAAGCGTGTGTGAAGTGGGTCTGAAGAGCTTAGAACTGGAATGGCAAGAAATGCTGTAAATCAGGATGCGGGACAGATGACGGTGGTATGACCAGCCTTGACTAGAAGAGATGGAGGTAGCAGGAAGTGCTACAGTCAGGCAGAAAGCATTTTACTGGGGTTGTGTGTAGAAAATATCTTACTTAAACTGTGGGCCACCCTAGCCACTGTTGTCATTGTCCCCAGTTCCCACTAAAGTACTGAAATCACCAGCCAGCGTAGAAATAAGAGACAGAAAAATCCAAAGATCTCTGAAGAAAACCACTTACCTTTACATCTCTGCATGTCTGGCCATGTCTGTCTCATGCCATTAATTTGAAACTTGGGAAGAATCATTTTCTTTGTGCATATCTCCTTCTGTATCCCCCAAGACAAATTAAAGATGGCTGAGAGGTTATTTATTTTCGGTAATAATATCCACACTGCTTCCAGACTTCCTGCTATTGTGCGATTATTTAGATTAATTGACTCGGAAAGCTGCAGCAGCATCTCGAGCCCTTAATAAGGAAGACCACAACATGGATTTATACGATATTTATGCATATTGCTGTGGGACACAGCCTTGCTCTTGGAAGCGTATGGACAAATCTCATCGATGAGTATCTACCAGCACCAACCGTACTTCTACACTAAGTGAAGGCTCGCACGCTACCTTCCTTGTTGGGGCACGGCACCTTGAGAGCAAGAGAGAGATAGTTGATGACATTTTTAGAAACCTCGTTAGTGGATAACTTTGCTCATACTGGAGTCAGTTCCCATCAGCCTCTGCTGAATGTTTCTGAGAATCGCTGGTGTGCTGGCTGGTTTGTGACCTTGTCTGTGCATGAGTAATAGCTGGACTCTTAAACATGCTTTTAGATGCTTTCAAGTGTTATGTTCTTAACAGGGAGGGAGAATCTGTACAAAGGAGGCTTTTA